TAATGTGAAATAGGAAGACAAAGGGCAAAGGGGAGGGGGAAGTGGGAGGGGTAGGGGAAAGTAAAGAAGGGAATGGAATTAATATGAGAAAACGAAATAATGGAAACACAGTCTTTGTAAACAGGGAGGGTTGGAGGGGTTGAAGGGAGGGTAGGGGAAGGGGGAAAAATAAGAACCAAGAGAGATTATGTAAAGGTCCATATCTCCAATGATGAATGTCATTATGTTGTACCCCTAAAATGTACCAATAAAAGGATATACATAAAAAATTTTTTAAAAAATTCTAAAAAAAAAAATAGTGAGATAAAAATGACTGCTATTCCATCTGTTAGCTGCTATTCAGCATGGAATTGGAGGCCAGAGCAAGGAACAGAGTCAAAGAGCAGGGGGAAATACTAATTTAAGGATTAGAAGGGAGCAAATAAAAACTCTTGTAGAGAATATAATTATGCATGTGCTTAAAAATATCAAATAGGAATAAATCTAACAGATAAAGAATTCTAAATAGAAAATGTAAAACATCATTAAGAGAAATTCCAGAAGACCTGAACAAATGGTGGATGTATATTGGGTCTATTCACAATCTATAGAAAATGCATGTTTGCATATTGCTCACAACCTTATTATTAGAGCTGGATAACCAGAATCAATAAAGTGATTATGTACTAGGTAGTAACTTACCTGGTTGTCCACTAGTTCCATAGTTACCATTTTAGCTTTTTTCCCATTATTACTTTATAATGAACTGAGTCTTTCTCTTACTAGTCTGTAACCATAGATAAACTTCAGGGAAGTTGTGTTAATATATCTACTGAAGATGGTTTGCTGAAAGCCAAGTATCTGTACACAGAATCATCATTTCTGTCTTCTGCTGCTGGGGATATTGCATTAGGAAGCATTCATGGTAAGTAAAAAAGACCTAGTAATTTCAGACTTTCCACATAGCATAAATTTTAAGAGATGACTGTAGTTGAAAGATCAGGAAACTGGCCTTCTAAATAATTAATTGCAGACTAGCCATGTAAATGGCTAAAATATGAAAATGAAATGACTCATAAGCTAATTTAATTTTGACAGGAAATGGTTTATGCTGTGGTATATGAAGAAAGTAGTCATTCTGATTTTTCTTTTTTTTTTTTTTTGGTACCAGGGATTGAACTGGGGACCTTGTGCTTGCAAGGCAGGTGGCAGAACCACTGAGCTAAATCCCTGGCCCATCATTCTGATTTTTAATACATACCCTTATAATAGAAATGAAGAATGAGGAAATATTTACAGAAGATGAAATAAAAGCAGTATTAAAAGTGAGGTTTGAGTAGTTGCTTTTATGTTACGATTGGAGAGCAGAAGTTTGAATTAATGAATCATTTCAGTGCAGTCTAATTATAGCAACTCAGTGACACTAATTTTGGCTAAAATGCTGTATGTGTGTTTGTATTGGCCCCAGGTCCTCTGGGCACCCACCATTTTTTTTTTTTTTTTTTTAATGAAGTGTCCTCTTGTAAATTCCAAAACATGTGCCTGCAGACAAGCAATATTATATCCTGCTTGGGTTACTGAAAGAAAAGGAGAGGGCATAATGGTGAGGTACTATGGCCAGGATTTGCTGGTGTTCAGGGTCACTCAGCCTGCTGCTTACATTTCCACAGAGCAGATGATTCAAATGTAGGTGTGTTTTCTGAAATATATTCAGATAGAATTAAGAATCACTTATCCTGGGAAGAATTACAGTATATGCATATCTGCTAAATACCTCTTGGGCCATATTCCAGCAAGTACAGACTTGACCTTTTCCATATATGGCCCACTCATTTCACTTCTGTAGTAGAGCTGAACATTGGTATCGATACACTTTGACAACCCCCCAGATTTTAGTAGTGAGCACAAATTATTAGGTGGCATTAGCAAGCCTGGTGTCTTAGTCACTTTCTCGTCACTGGTACAAAAATACCCAACACCCACAACTTAAAGGAGGAGAGGTTTATTTAGCTCATGGGTTTTGGTGCATGGTAGGCCGGCCCCAGAGCAAAAAGGGCATAGCAGAAGGGCTGGGCAGAGAGGGACCAGCTGCTCATCCCATAGCTGCCAAGAAGCAAAGACAAAAGAGGAGCCAGGCAGGGAGATGCACCTTGCAGTGCATCCAGTGACCGCCTTTCAGCCAGGCCCCACCTCCTAACAGCAAGGTTAGCTCCGAACTCCTCAGGAGATTAATCCACTGATCCACTGATGAGCACAGCACCCCCATGATCCAGTCACCTTCCAACAGCCCTACCTCAGAATGCAGGAGGTTTGGGGGACATTCTAGATCTAAACCATCCAGCATGGTTAGTGCTAACCATGCTGTGTAGCAAGTCTGCAAGTTTTCTAGTTTAAAAAAAAGTCTAACAAAAAAGAGTACTTATATAATTGGAATAATTCTGGAGGCTCAATTTAATGATTTAATAACCATTCTTACAAGATTAAGGTATTAATTAGGCCCCAAATAGCTTGAGTAAATGTGGAGCTGTAACCAGAAAATCAAATGTTTTGTTCAATTTTTATTTAGGGGTATATTAAGTGGTTTTGGTAATTTGTAACTCATACTTTAAAAATGATCTGCATAAGTGTTAAATTTTTATATTAGTCATAATTAAAAGTTCTATACCTAATACATGGAGGGGTTTTTCGTGAAAAAGCAATTCTTTATCGAGTCAGATGTTGATTAACACCACAGGGAACAGCTCTGTTCTCTGTACTGCTTTATACCATATTTACCCTAACTGCGTGAACTTTTACTTTCTTTGCTTTCTTTTAAAGTAGATCAGATTTGATTGTGGTAGTTCATTGCTAGTTGGGTACATGATAATAAAATGTGTACTTTCTTCAGGAAGTTCTCAAAGTACTCTGGGTCTGTCGATTACTTAACACAGCTAAAAAGGAAACACTGCCAGGGACAAGAATTTCTTCTTTAGCTTTTGTAAAGCCTTTTAATACTTACTGACCTTTAATGCAAAGTCAAATACATTTCCCTACATGGTTTGAACCCAAGTTCATGTTTTGACTGTTGTCTCAGGTTGAGTTTTCCTGAAAATAGACGTTGTGAGGTAGGAATCAGAGTACAGCACATTTACTAAGGGGAGGAAGCCCACTTTCCATGGGAGAAGTTGGACTGTGTTTCCTTGGCAGCAACCCGAGGAGCAGCTCTGAAGCAGAGATGGTCCCTCAGATTCATCTGAGGTTGGGGTGAGGGGGCTGGGCTTTTATGTCCCTGGCCCTTAGATGCCCACAGCCCTAGGAAGGAGTGTGATTTGGGGCCCAGATGGCTTCAGCTGAGGCAGTTCCCAAAAAGGGCTGACAGCAGAGGGCCGTCTGCTGACAGTGTCGCCACAGTTAGGAAAATAAGCCTCCAGGTACAAAGGGGGCTCTGAATGGTGGCTGTCAGCTTCAGCTGCAGTCGCATTTATCATTCTTTCATCATAGTATGGACCACCCACTGGGTGCTGGGTTTGCAGAGTTGAAAGGCGATGATATCTGTCCTTAAAGAACACACAGCCTAGCGGAAGGATTGAATGCCCTTTTCTCATTTCCTCAGTCACTACCACCCCATTGGGACACAACCCCCACCTCATCTCATGCCCACTGTCACCCTGCCTCAACACAGTGCACTCTCAGCTGTTCCTGAAGCTCCTTTTCCAATACAGGTACCCCAGTGAGCAGGAGGAGGGGAGGGAACAATTTGATCAGCGGCTGTAGAAACACTTCCATGCTGTTCGGCTCTGTTTTCCCTTGCCCTAAGGGGTAATGTGGACATGCTAGTGAAGTCTGGAATTTGGGGGTGAGATGGTGCAAAAGGGCCAGCGAAGTTTCAGCTCCGGATGGTGGTAGGTAAGAGCACTAGATCATGGCGCGTGAAAGGAAGTCCGTGTGTGCAGCTACTAGGGTTAGTGGGGAGGGCTTTTCTCCAAGGACCCTCCCACGCGGGAACTCTGAATGCGTATTTCAGTGAATTCTCTGTTCTCCATGCTGATGGTTATACTGTATAATGTAAGTTAGGTGTGTTTAAACAAGCTGGCTCGGAATCTTAAAACTTGTGTTATGGGAAAATATGTTGCTACTTCTGAATGTCTGGCTTACAGAAAGCCAACTTGGAGAATATATTCATTGTAAGTCCTGCTTGTTTAGGATTTATTTAGTTTGGCTCTTTTTTCTTAATCAAGTCTTAAAGTGATTATTTTTTTTCCCAGTTAGAGTTGGAAAAATCCAACATATAGATGTAAAAGCCCATTGTTACATAAATATAATGTCTTTTTTCATAGACTTCAGTAAGTATATGAATGTGGAGCCCTAGTGCCAGGAGGTGGGTGGTTATTGGAAAGCAGATATGTGAGTGCCTAAATTAGCCAGGCCCTTTCTCTAGTGGACAGTTGGCTCTTTATAGATGAGGAAAGCAAGGCTTAGAAATGTCTCACTGTTTACTCTCAACTACAAGTTAATTATTAAAATATCAAGGATTTGGTCCTGATTTCTTGACTGTAGGAGATGCTATTAAACAGCGTTCAATCACACAGCCATGTTGAGCTTCCTGATTACAACAGGAAATTCCATTGTCACTTTGAGGGATTCCTGCTCTAGATGCCTTGCTTTAGCTATGCTTTATATTGTAGTTCCCTTGAATTTCAGGACCATTTATTACTGCCTTCTGCCTCATGACATCTGGCACAAAATGCAGATGTTTCATAGAGTGTTTTGGCTCAGCTCCACGGTAGAATTCAGAGACTAGACTCCTTCCATAAAAGCAGTGCTCTTATCTTAAGTGTATGGCTTCTAAGGTTTCCATGAAAAAAAGAAAGAGCACACGATCCCTTCCTTGTCTGTATTTTGCTCATGACCAGACGCCCTGTATAAGCCCTCGGCACTAATGGGTTGGATGTTGGTTTGTCCTCAGCTCAGCTCCTTGGAGACATTCAGACACTCAGCTCCTTCCCTAAAGGTGATGCTGCCACCTTCATCTTGTGGCTTCCATGGCTTCTGTGAGAAGCAGAGATCACACAGGGGACCAGGCAAGATGTTTCAGAAACTCCAAGTGCACACACGACTTCAGCCTTAGACAGAATGTTTTCAGGTGGCTTCATGACTGCAGAGAGTGAGATACATAGTGAGTGTATTGCAGGGAAGGAGAGAAGCACACATATGGTGGTGGGCACCGGCAGTCTCAGTCATGTCTCATATTTATAATTGCTTTTCTACAATCTCTCTGCACTTCTTTCCTCGTCCTTTCATTTCCCTTCTGCCCTCTCCTGCCCTCCTTTCCTCCTTTCATTGCTTTCTCTTTTTCCAGGGCTGGGGACTGACCCCCAGGCCTCTCCCATGCTTTTCATTGGGCATCTTACACATTTTGAGTCTTAACCACTCTGCCCCTTGATGATTCAAATCTTTATCTCTGTATGTGATTTCCAACTCATACACCCTTCTGCATGGTAGACACAGCCATTTGCACTTCCCAGGCATCACAAACAACGTTTCCAGATTCTGTCCCCTCCTTTTGCAGCCTCCCAACCTCATGCATGATGTACTGTCCTCCTTTATTCCCGTTTGCAGGTTTGCTGTCACTGTGTCCTAACACCCATGCTGTAACGTCTGTAAGTCACCCTAAATTCCTCTCCTTTCTCTCCTGCATCTGGTCAGTCAGTAAGTTTAGGCAGGTTTTATCACTCATTTGAGTATTTCTTACTTTTGCCGCATTTTTTTCTTCCTGGCTTCTCTTCATCTGCTTTAGACCCCTGTCATCTCTTGCCTGGGCTGTAACAGTGACTTTCTTCCAGTCTTGATTTCCTCAAATCCCTCTTCCTCGATAGCTATAGTAGATTCTGAGAGATGCACCTTGAATGTGTAATTCCCTTATTCAAACCCTTTGCTGTGTCTCAGTGACCTGCCTAACTTCCCTCTTCTGACCCTGTGCTTTGTTTTCCAGAATGACATGATTTCTTACTTTTTCTATATATGTTCGTAATCAATTTTATACCTCTCAGTTCTTGATTGGAGCCTTTGATCATAGTGTTAATGCTGTTTATATTCTGCCTAAAATGCTTTTTAAAGAAATCCTGTTGACTTTTAGCAATCTTTTGGTACTCAACTAAAGCATCCTCACCTTACCATGACTTTCCACTGACCTACATTCTTGCTAATTATAACTCCCCAAGAGCAGGGATCATGTTTTATCTCCATATTCGTAGTATTTATCACGTTTTGCAGGTAGCGAGTGACTTCCTTCCTGTCTCCTACATTAAGAAAAACCAAAAAAGGACTTAAGCATTAAGGATATTTGATGTCTCTTGATTTTGAGAGTATGTGTGGCCATGATCACATTTCTTTTGCTGAAGAAAAATACACCAGTATTTTTATCCTTAAATTGATCGTTTATTTATTCCCTCTGACTATGCTAAATTAAGGGTTGCATTAAAAGAAAAACTATATATTTTCTCAAATACTGGGATTTGTGGGAGAGTTGTATAACTTGAGAGTAACGTCAACACACATAGTTATTACAGACATATGGTGGCAGCTTTATTGGAAAGAAACTTTTACTAAGGTTTACTTCTCTCCAATAGTTGATTTGTTCATTATTTTCATTGATTGGAGGTGAAATAAATGAAACCAAAATACAGGAAATGTTTGCTAATAATGTTGATTCATGTATTTTAAAATATTCTACCTCACTCCACAAAGTTTTTGAGGCAAGAGTCCCTTTTGTATTATAGTCTAATAATTTTAGAAGGTTTTATTTAGGATGGAGATTTTCTAAATAATTTTGGTATGCATTGAAAATTTATTTTTGTTCATGTTTCAGTATTGACACATTTTTGAAATATTCTTTATAACTATATTTACAAATATTCCTTATTTGCATAGTTTTTGTTCCATTATGTTTTTACTGTTGGTATAATAACTGTAACATTCGAGAGGGATGTTGCCTGGAACTCTAGGTCCCACAGTACTATGAACTAGTCATCATTCCTTGTGGATCCTAAATTTTTGCTTTCTAGCTCTAACAGTCATTATTTTCTTGAAACCTCATCACAAGCATTAATGATTGGCTTTTTGCAAAAGCCTATATTTTCATTAAAATGTTATATATTTACTGTATTTGCTGAATGCAATATAAGACAATAAAGTTCTACTTGTTTGTGACTAGGTGACTGAAGTCACTAGCTAAATGACTGTAAAACTATATTATAGTCCTTTATTAATAGTTAAAATTAGAAATATCAGGGCTGTGCTGCATCTTTAAATATACAAAAGGTAGAAGCAGTACAGAGAATTAGGAGTATGGAGTAGCCACTCTCTCACGCAAGGTTCTTGCCTGGTTATCCATCTTGGGTTACCAATTGTTGACTGATTCCTTTGATGTAGGGTGGTCACTAGTCCTGAACTCTGTGGTTCTACTACAGTTTGTTCTTTACTCACTTTTCCAAACTTTTTCATTTATAAAAAATAGCATTTACCACATACTGGGCACTTGCTAAGCTCTCCAGATATGAAACTGAATAAGAAAGATGACTTCTGTCCTCATAGGCTTCCTCGTGCCCCAGCCTACCTGCTCTATGTGATTTAGGAATAGTGTATGTACTTCTGCCTTTTTAACCCCTGTTGGTGTGATTCTTTTTCCCGGAATCTTTCCCTCCTACAATATGCACATTTTATCCATGTTTCACATCCAAGCTCAGACGATACTTTCTATCCTTTCTCCCTGTCCTTGCCAGGTCATTTTCATCTCTTTCCTCTGAACAGCTCTGGTACCTCTTTCATGCTGTTCACTTAGGATGTTAAGTTATAATAATTAGTAATGTTTCATGTGTGCATCCCCTCAAATACCCTTGAAGGTTTTGGATGACCAATCTGTCCCATGGACCCTTAATGGTTTGTGTCCCATGTATTAGTCTATTTTCCGTTGCTGTAACAAAACACCTGAGTTCAGGTGCTTTATAAGTAATGATGTTTATTTGCCTCCAGATTCTGGTGGCTGGAGGTTCCAAGCAGCATAGTGCTGGTGCTTTGGTGAGGGGCGCCTAGATGTGTCACAACATGCAGAGAAGTGGAAAGAGAAAAGGCTACATGCAGAGGAGCCCAAGCATGGGGATGGGCGGGGGTCTGGCTTTATAATGGTGGTCTCTTTTCACTTTGTACTGTCGCTGTCCTGTCCATAATGGCCGTGTATTTGCTGATAGATTTCTCTCCAAAACTTTGTCAGGCTCCTGTGAATTGCATTGGTGTTTATTTCACTAGACAAAAGCCACGCCTAAAACTCTCTGAAAATACGAGTTTCTGCAGAGATGTGAGGTATAGCAAGGTCAAGCTTCCCAGGGGACACATTTGGTTGAGAGCATTTGTCAGGTACATCCTTAATCTTTTCAAAGACCTTTTTGTGTAACTGATCAATACTATGAGATACCACCTTTCTGGGGTTTAACAAAAGGTTTTACAGTCACCTGCAGCCTCTTTGAAGCCATGTTCTCACAGCATTGTGGTTTCAGATTTTGTTTGGAGACCATTCTTAACTTTAGCATCTTGCCATCTCGAGAGACTGAATGGCTTTGAAGCCCAGACCCTTTTTGGTTTTTAGCAGTCTCCTTTGCTGTTAGTCATTCCCCCCCACCCCTTGCATTTTACCTTATGCAGCATGGAACACAAACAGCCAGCACCTATAATACTTGGACTTTGCTTGGAAATATTTGTATATTGTTCTGTGCATGAGGCACATTTCCTATTTTCCACATTACTGAAGTGGATATTGTTGCAAAGTTTCTGCTTCTACTTAACAAGGATTTTTTTCCTCCAGTTTTCAAAAACATTTTCCTCACTCCTTTTGAATCCTCACGGGAAGCCTGCTGAAACTCCAGCTTGTACTAACTCAGTTCAGGGCAACTTAGGCTTTCTCAAACATGCTCTTCAAAATCCTTCAAACCTCTGCCACTGCCAAGCTCTGAAGCTAATCCCACGTTTTTAGATATTATGACAGGACTCCATTCCAGGTTTCAGCATTTGTACTAGCTACTTATTTTACCACAAATAGCCCCAGAACATAGCAGTCACAAACACAAATACTGTCTTAGTGAGTGGATCAGTAATCTGGGTGTGGCTCGGCAGGGCCATCCGCCCCCAGATCTCTGACCGGGCTGTTGTCAGGAAGCAGCCAGGGCTATCGGCTCATGTGAATGTTCAGTTAGGAGAATCTTCTTCCTCTGTGGTGCACACTCATGTGGCTGTTGGCAGGAGTCCTTTCTGAGCCTCCTGGCCAGGCCCTCCTGCCAGAAGGGCCTCTTCCATAGCACTGTTGACAACATGGCAGCTGGCTTCAATAAGAACAGGAGAGGATTGGAAAGGCGTAAGCCAGGATCTTTTTGTAACCTAATTTTGGGAGTGACATCCCATCACTTTGTCCTGATTTTCTTTGTTAAAAGCAAATTACTAAGGGCCAGCCTACACATAAGGGAAAGAGGGAATACCAGGCCCTGAAGACCAGGAGTCAGGATCATTGGGTGCCATCTTGGAAGCAGCATGATCTTTGGCTACAATTCACATGTGATGGGGAATCTCTATTTACTGGGTTTGAAAATTGGAAGAGCGTATACAGAGCACACCAATGAAATAATATTTACTTAACACATTTAACAAGACCTTCACAGCCTTGTAACTTACTGAGACTTGAAAATCATTTTATGAGCTTCTGTGTACAAACCATGTTTTTATTCCCACATGAAGGTACCCTTTGTTCATACACTCACATAAAGTGTGCTGGAACGTTAGGCCTTCAGAAAGAGTTTTCCAGTCAGGCTCATCTGGCTATTGGATAAATGAATCAAGTGTCATGTTTGCTTTCTTCCAGGTAGTGATACATATCAGTATTTACAAAACATATCAAATGAGATTATCCTAAATTGATTTACAACCGTTATTCCTTTTGCATGTAGTTTTGAAATTACATAGGTAATATTATTGCTTACATCTTTGCTTAAGTAACAATGAGTTTCTCATTCCAGGAGTGCTTATATATACAAACATATATATAAAGAGAAGTGCTACTATTTTTGTTATTAGAGTAGGGGGCTGGGAAGAATGGTTTTAATATTCTATATTTGGTCTGGGAAATATAGTTTCATTGAAAGGGTTTGAAGGTTTTTTTTTTTTCTTAGTTATACCTTCATGGATTCATTATTTTTACCCCAAACTACTTCAGCTCTTGGCCCAGAAACTACTTTAATCTAACAGACAGGGGAACTGGTCTGAAAAATAAAAGTAATTATTTTTTCCAGTCACTACTTTAGTGTTACTTGGCTCAAAACTTGTCTTTGTCCTGATAAATACTTTAATATTTAGGTCGAAAGTGTCTAGTAAATACCTTTTTTATGGGCTTTAGAGGTATGATTATTTTTCCTTCATGTTTTCCAGGAGGTATGGCGGTTTGTTTTGTAGTTATACCCTAAAAGTTTAGGTTTTGGGAGTGGAAGAAGAGAATTTGCATAGATGCCTAAAGCTAGTTATTTCAGAACTGTAACTAAATATCAGACTGGATTTGTGACATTGAGAAAAATGGCCAACAAAAGTAATAGTGTTAATTAATAACATTGTAGGTATCCAGCCCCATCTTAGGGTTCTGTATAACAGTTCTTTTCTCGATTACCCCGATATATAAAATTTTTTTTTCTCTCTTTTCCAGGTGATATAATATTACAAAGTAAGATGGGTAACATCACAGTAGGTACGTAAGATCCTAGTGAGTAAATTTTGCCCACTTCTTTTTTTGTTTTTCTTTTTTTCTTTTTTTGGTACTGGGGTGGCACCACTGAGCTAAATCTCCGGCCCCAGCCCACTTCTGACAGTATCTCTATTTGTCCTTCTTTATTAAAGTTTACAGTTCATTCAGCTAGTGAAACAGATAAGATCCTGACAAGCAAGTCTAATATAGTTAGACCCAAACAATGAATATGTCCACTCAAAATGACCTGACCGGGTCTTAAGAAATGGAACAAATTCCTTGAGTTCTTTCAAATATCTACATTAAGGCTTTGAAAAAAGGATGTAAATTGTGTCACTGCATATGGGTTCCCAAATTGTTAATGTTTGAAGACAAACCTGAGTATGCTAGCAACTGATTAGTCAACATGTTGCCTGTGAGAGCTTCTTTCAGGTTCTGGGGAATACATTGTTCAACAAGATACAGGCTGTGCTCAGAGGCCTCACCTTCTTTGAGTTCTGGGAAGAAAGACAGTGACATGTAAATAATGGAAGGTAACTTCAGAACATGATAAGTGCAGTGAAGAAACAGAAGAGGGTAAGAGAAGAGAGATTGCCTGGGGAACAGAAAGTGCTTCAGTTAGACAAAGAGGAAGGGTCTGGGCAGGGACATTGAACTAAGGCAGAATCATGGCAGAGGCTTGTCGGACACTATGGACAGAGCTCCCACATAGAGGAACAGCAAGTGCAGGCCTTAGCGATGGCGTGAGGGCATCGTTTTCAAAGTGTGGAGGGAAAGCTTGTGGGGAAAGTGGTGGGAGATGAAGTACGTGAGACCTGAGCCTGGCACCTGTAGACATGGCGAGAGTAGGACCTTTGTTCCCAGGACAGCAGAGCCTTAGTGAGGGACCGATGCATCATTCATACCTTAACAGGAAAACCTGTTATTTGATAATGTAACAGGCCGTAGAAAGGAATGCAGGCCACGATAAAGCTTTGTTTATCCATTCTGTTCTTGGACACTTGGGGTGTTTCTAATTTTTGGCAACTATAAATAAAGCTGCTATAAACATTCTCATACATGTCTTTTTATCTTTTTTGGATATCTATCCATATATATTTATGGGTAAATATGCAGGAGTGGAAGCATTGAGGAGGCAGGTGAATACCTAGTTTTATGAAATGATAAACCAACAGACCTTTCCCTAAAGTTCCCTTTTACAGTCTTCTGACTAGTGTATGAGAATTCTAGGTGCTCCACATCCTTGCCAACATTTATTATTGTCAGTCTTTTAAGATTCACCCATTCTGATGTGCATGTATTTCTGGTATTAATTTATATTTCCCTAATGTATAATGATGGCCTGCACTTTTGTGTATATTTATTGGTCATTAGTATATCTTTATTTGTGAAGTTTTTGTTTGTATCTTTTATCCCTTTATTTTTCAGTTGAGTTATTTTTATTTTTATTTAGTTGCAGGAATTTTTAAAATATGCTAAGTGCAAGTTGTCAGTTACTATTTTTTAATATTTTCACTTGTCTGTATTCTCTCTTCCTTTCTTTCTTTCTTTTTATTGTAGTACTGGTGACTGAACCCAGAGGCACTTTACCACTGAGCTATAGTCCCAGTCCTTTTTTTAAAATTTTCATTATGAAATAAGATCTCACTAAGTTGACCAGGCTAGCCTTACAATTGTGATCCTCCTGCCTCAGCCTCCTGAAGAGCTGGGATTATTTTTTTTTTCAAAATTATATATATATATATATATATATATAATAACATGACATATCTATGTACAACATGGCTGGGACAGTTGAGGAAACTATACAGTGACATTCAGCATTCTCCCCTTCCCACATGGACTTCAGATAAAGGATGACAGCATGAGGGAATGGAGCAAGAAACACAAAAATTATATACACTTACAAGTGACAGTCAGGGAGTTTGGGGGAGGGAGGTCAGGGATCCTGCTCTCTCCATGCCTTCCTCACCAACCTTTTCCTATCCAATCTGAACGACACCCCGAAAGCTGAAGTTAGGAGATGTAACAGACCTCATCGCCCCAAATACAGCAACAACATACAGTCATGAAGAGCTGGGATTATAAGCATGTACCACCACACTTAGGTGCCTTTTCATTTTCTTAATGGTGTATTTTGATGAGAAGATTTTAATTTTGATGAAGTCTAATTTGCCCATTATTTTTATAGATCTAAAGAGATCTTTTATTTGCCTCCATTTTCGCTCTTACCTTTGATCCATTTCTAATTTTTGTGCTTGGGTTAGAAGTCAAGATTTATTTTTTTCCTATATGGATAGCAAGTTGTTACATCACCATTTGTTGGAAAAACTTTCTTTCTGAGGATCTTTTTCTAAAATCAAATGACTGCATAAGAATCAGTCTACTACTGATCTCTTGCTCCTGTTCACTGATTTGTTTGTTGAGCCACAGTATCTTGATTACTGCAGCTTTATCATAGTAAGTCTCTAAATCAGGTTGTTGAAATCTTCTGAATTTGTTCTTTTAATATTGATTTGGATATTGCAGAGCCTATGATTTTCTACCCAAAAAATCCATTTGAGATTATTTTTAGGTCAGCACTGAGTCACTGACTCTCTACATCAGTTTGGAGAGAACTCACCTTCAGCAACACTGAGTCTTCTGTTCATGAAAATAGAGTAACTCTCCATTTATTGAGATATTCTGTAATTTCTCTCAGTACTGTTTTGCAATTTTTAGTCTAGAGGTCTGGCACATCATTTGTTAAGTTTATTCATGTTTTTGACATTATCAATAGAATTTTGAAATTTTTCATTTCTAATTGCTAGTAATATGTGAAAATACAACTTTTAAAAAAATACAGACCTTATATCTTGGACCTCACTAAGTTTCTGGTTTCTTGTGACAGTGGTTTTAGAATCTAGAATCCTTTTCTATATAAACAGTCATTTTGTATCTAATGGAGTACTAAACTGCTGTAAAGGATAAATTTTAATCATTTATAGGAAGATAGATGCACTTTGAGACCATAATTCTAAGTGAAATAAATCATACAGACAAACTTAAATATTACAGTGCTATATGTTATATGAAAAACCCAAAGCATAAATAAAGAGTAAAATGAAAGACAGATAATAAGAAACAGGAGATAGATCTTTTGCAAATGGGAAAGGAACGAGAGATGGAGGGAGGGATGGGGAAGGGAATGGAAAAAGAGTTAAGATGTGTTACGCACATATACCACTCCCCACCTTAAATGTAGGGATCGTTATGTACTGCTAATATGTACTAATAAAAATCCAAAAAAGTTCTGCCTTTTCAAACCCTTATATCTCATATATAGAATGTGTCCCCTGTTCTTGCAATTAGCATAACTTTGAAAGTGTATGAATCAGGCTGCAGAAATCAAGAAATATCTTTAGTGTTGCCTTTTATATTTTGAAAATTGAGGTAAAATTATAAAAATTTGTTCTATTTTATCTAAAGGAAAATAGCAAAGTTTGGAACTTTAGCCATTCAAGCATCATTATTTTTCTTTTAACAAAATGTATATTACAAATGTCTGGGTTTTTTGGATGTATGTAGTGTTGGGCTGGTGACTAACATCAGTACTTTCCTTTTGTCTATGTAATTTTCCAGGAAAACTCAATTGATTTGTCAGACTGACAAGATCTTTGCCCTGAATTGCAATGACAGATAATTCTGCGTGGGAGTCTACTCATTCCTACCAGTATCTGGATTAACAGTTTCTCTTTACTTGCATATTTCCCTGAAGGCTGTCTCCAAGAGCTATAGAATTTCTGTACTCTATGAATCTCCAAAAAATGAAAATCTGCACGAAGCCTTAATTTTACTTTTGATAATTAATTTTAGTTCTAATAATTTGTATTACAGAAAATAAGAAAATTAAGGTTTATTTTGCTGCCTATCACTTCTGGTTTCTCTTTCCCAAACATGTCCTGAGTTTTAATTTTTTTAATAACCCCCAGCCATTATCAGAGCTCAAGACTGACAACATAAAAAAATATAATTACTTTGTGGCTTAGGATGCAATTATTTAGTCGGTGTTTATTTCCCAGGAGGGAGGGAGGCGGAAGTATTTATGAGCTACATAAAAATCTTGTGCCCTCTCCAACCCCAAGAAAGTAAGAAAAACTAAATTAATGTTTCACATATTTTACTTTGTTCATCCTGGGATAATATACACATTATGCAGTCCACTCTTTTTGTTTAACCATATAATGTGCTTTTTGGCTTCTTTTCGAATCCAGTAAGAGGTTCTAAAAGGAGTTTCTGTTAGCACCTAAGCAACAGAATATCTACTTTTGGGCCAGGGATTTAGCTCACTGGTGCCACTGCCTGCCTCGCAAGAGCAAGGTCCTGAGTTCGATCCCCGGTGCCAAAAAAAAAAAAAAAATCCACTTTTCTGGCTACTTTATGTCATATATCTAGCAGCTTCATTCCCAACCTCAGTGCTTATTTTTTACACTGAAAACTATATAAATTGGGACCTTTTTGGTATAGATAGGAAACATTATAAATTGTTCTTGGTGCTAGATTTTGAAGTTTATTCCAAAGTCACTGTTTTTGTTTGGAGTTACTTAAATGTTTCTAAAGAAAAATGTTGACTCTTTGTAGATAGACAAAGATTGTACTTCTATATTTTATAAAAACTATCACTTTTTGACAGTTTTCACCACACTCCTCACTTTGGCTCTTCTGTGGAGTCACCGAGCTCCTGATAAAATGCACTTAGGGCTAGAGTTGGGCCTCAGTGGTGGAGTGACTGCCTAGTGTGTGCATGCCCCTTGGTTCGATCTCAGCCCTGCCCTCCAAAAAAGCCTTTACATGGATTTCTCTAAAAAGAACATGCTTTGGCCTTGTGAGGATAGAGAATAAAATATTAAGTGGAAGGTTCACTTGCTGAGGAAGAAGGGGAAGCCACTGAGCACTGACTCTTCAGTGTCCTTTTCTTCCTTCTTTCTGACTCCATCTGTTTCTCCTTGAGTTAAAATGTTGGAGTGAATCACACTTAACAACATAGGGGAATTTGAGTGTCGGATCAGGACTGCCTGAATTATCAGGACTACCTTATTTCTTAACCTGACTTGAAGATATCTACCTAGTGCCTTCAAGAAACTTGGAAAGTAACAATAGATAAAAACAAGCTCCACTCTTCCAAGGGCCCTTCCCCTCACCTCTTTCTGTTACTCTAGAAAGGCAATAACACCTTTCGTGGAGTCATCTGATCAGTATGACAGTAAACAGAATACATCGGTGACATGCAGTGGTCTTGGCTGTCAGGGTCTGTTGCATGCATACTGTCCTTCTACTGATTAGGTTTTAGAGTTAATGTTTAGAGATAAACTATTCAGACTGTGGTAGATAGCGATTTTCTTACCAGGTGTCTAGGTGTAGGTTTCTACATTTCTGACACTCTTTACATTTTAATGAAAATGATGGCATTGTAATAAGGAAAATATGAAACTTCGCAAGATTCTTAGCTTTGTATTCTATATTTGTTTTTTGTTTTGTTTTGTTTTCTAGTACTGGGGATTGAACTCAGGACCTTGTGCTTGCCATGCAAGCGCAGCATCATAACTTTGTATTCTAATGTCAAAGCAGAACCTTTTATTTCAAGTTTATAATTTTACTTACTCAAGTAAGAATAATTATACTTACAGTTCTTCTTTCCTCCCAGATTCGTCTGCAGGGTGTCTAAAAGTCTCAACTCATGAGGGTGCCATAGATGTTTATGTCAACCAGCTGGGGAAAGTGGAGTTGAAATCTCACAAAGGTTAGCCCCAGAACACTGTATTTTTCACGTGGAATAAGGAAGGTTGTATGTAATGCAGAGGAAATGGATGGTCAGATCACCTGTGCTGACATATGGGCTTCAAGAAACTTTCTTCTCTTAGAATCTGATTTAAAGGCCGGTCTTCTAGCTCCTAGATCCATAATCCTTAAAATGTTTGGGGCAGATGGCCATGAAGACTATCTTTTTCTTTGTAAACAAACAAAAATGCTGCATTATTTTGACTATCTGTTATTGTGGAATGTTTAATGTTACTGTGTGGGTCTTTCTGTTTAGTCTTATGTCTGACACAGAATATTCTTTGGAGGGAAAATGCTCCCATCATTAGAAGCTTTCCTGCCAGCCTGAAGAGGACCTCCTTGGGGCATCACTGCAGAGTAATATTTCAAAGTGTGATCCCGAAATAAAAGTATCACTAGGAAGATGATTGTTGACTTTGCCTCCTGGAGAATCAATACTTACGATGTGTCTCACTATATAATTTAATTCTTCATACAAGTAATTTATTCAAAGAGCACAAGTCTTTCACTGCAAACAGTATGCCTTTTTATTCATCTGGAAGCTAACTCTGAGCTTACATGTGCCTGTATGCACACACACATGGATGGAGACACATGACATGGGTGGGGTAGCTTGGCCAGAGGAGCTGAAGCGGTTTGGGTGCAGAAAGCTAAATACTGTAGCTCTGTGTTTAAAAATAGAAATTTAAAAATAAAGTCTTATGGGGCGGGGATTTAGCTCTGGTTCCTCTGCCTGCCCCGTAAGTGCAAGGACCCAAGTTGGATCCCTGGTACAAAAAATAAAAATAAAGTCTTACAGCTCTTGCATATTGACCAGAACAGGGATATATGTAGAAGACAGCAAGTATTTCCTTTCAGAGCCAGGATGTTAACGAGTTCTCACTCATGTTCACTCAGTAGCTGTTTATCCAACTAGGTTCTCTTGTCATTATGTCAAAGTAAACTACAAAACACAGAAGTCTGGAACTAAAGCTATTGCTGGCATATTAAGATAGGATATTATCTTGTCCTCATTAAACTAAGAGCTTCAGTAATACTGTCAGGTATTGTAAATGTCATGTAAGTCATATAATTGCACTCTTTAATGAAGACTCAAGGAGACAAAACATTAACTAGTAACAGAGTAAAAAATTTTTGAATAAGCAGCTCTTATATGAAAGTTATTTCCTTTTTTGTGTTGTGGGCAAATAAGCCAAACAAAGCAAACAAAATCTTTAAAATTTTTGAATATTATTACTCTTCATCTACTTAAAATATTTTTGCACACTAGTTAGAATGTTGTTCCAGCAACTATTGAAACAACAGATGATGTTACAAAATTTGATTAGTATTACACTTTTGTGTTTTCTCCTACTGGGACCATGTTACTGGCAAAACCTTACAGATAGTGGGAAACAAAGACTTCTGTCTTAGCTCCCATTTCCAAGTTCTCACTATACTTGGGAACAGTAACTTTTTAGAGTAATGGAAAGCTATTCTGGATTCTGTTGCTTAGTAGTTACAAAGACTTCTGGAATCCATTCTAGTTCTGCCACTGCATTGCTGCAGGATTGAGAGCCGGGCACTGGAGTCTCTTAGGTCTCACCATTTTGCCACGTGGGAAAAAATTACACTTGATTTCTATCCTTGCAGAAATGCATATGGCATGCCGTGCCTGCCTCGCAAGTGCAAGGTCCAGAGTTCGATGTCTGGTACCAGAAAAAAAAATGCATATGGCAAGCTTATTCATTCAGAAAGGCTGTTTTGGGGCTTGGGAATCAGCTCAAAGTATCAGCTTTCCCACTGATCATGTCCTCAGGAAAATCACTAATCTTCATATTAGTAGCCTACAGTAAGTGGTGCTGTTACTATTACTTTTGTTTTTGAGTTTTTAAAGAGGGCAGTGTTGATGTCAGTAACCATGCAGAAGTTTATGAGGTTGAGAATAGGTTCATGACATAACGAGAGCATATTTTTCTGGGATATTAGGGAAGATTTCAGGGCACGAGAAATCCTCATTCATAGAGCCAAAGGTATGGTAGTGGTGGCTTTTGTTTTTAAAGATGTAGAGAGAGATGAGCTATTTACACAGCTTAACATTTTTAAAGATCTCACAGATTTAAGATCATGTTATTCATGTAAGGGCAGAAAAACGGTACATAAAATTATCATGTTTGGTATATTTAGAGACATAAAGTCCTAGAAAAAAAGTTTTTAAATCCTTATTTTCTACTTTTAAAAGCATTTTGATAGGAAAATACGTATCTTTTATTCATCCTGAAATTTTCCATGGTTGTTTTGTTTTTTTCCTAAAGCCCTCATATCTGTTGTTAGGGAGAATCTTCTACAAGTTTGAACATTACATTTGAACCTAGGAAGGATTTTGAATAAGTGGATACAGTCATGTGCTTTGCTCCTTACATTTTCTGAGGAGTAAATATGAGTTTATCAGTCTTACCCTAATCTTTCAGCTTCAACTTGGGAGGACTGAGAAGATATAAAACTTCTTAAGGCAATTTAAGCTATGTGTTAAGCAGATTAAAAGGAAAATCTAAAAGGAATCTACAATATTCCCATGGATGTCACCTTGACTGTCTTTTTGGGGTTAATGTTACATGGCAGTGAATTATAATACAATCCCATAAAGTTGATATGGAGATTAAGTGGCTGGCACTTAGTAAATGTTGAATTGAAAGTAAGTACTATCTATATACTACGTGCGTAGGAAACTACTCTTTCTGGTATGGAGGAGCAGGGTAAGGATATAGGACATAGGTAGATGAAGAGCTGTGGTTCACCGTGTCCCGTGGCCCTGTACTCCTGACAAAAGTTACTGTAGATGCCTTCCGAGTAGGAAACTGGCCACCCAGGAGTAAGGGAAAGGCTCTGCTGTCTGAATAACTATGCTGAGGAGTAAAACCGTGGACCAGGAGCAGTGCTACCCTTTTCAATCAAATTTGAAATAGACTCTAGTACTTTGGTTTCTTTGCATTAATAAACTCTCTCTTAAATTTATTACAGGCTCTGTTACAGTCAAAGTGCCATCTTCTCTTCAAGCATACTTACAGTTGTCAGGGAAGGAGGTTGATGTGAGCCCGGAAGTCCACATTCAGGAAATGGCTAGAGTTCATAAATGTGCTGGTGTGACAGTTACTGGTAAGGAGGCTGTGTTTTGCCTTGTGATGAATAGCTGTTGGCATACATAAGTGGAAATGCGCTATAGTCAACTGCAGTATGAGTCATTTCGTTCTTCTCCATTGTCACTTTCTAGTGTCTGACAGTATTTTCTTCCATTTGCTTATCAGTAACATAATGCAGATATTTTGTTTGAAAAGACCTCATTAAATTATTGAGGAACACTCGTTATTTCTGTCCTTGGATAAAATTAATTTAAAACATTTTCTGGAACAGTTGCTTTTTAATTCTTGACCTTAAAAATCAGCTGAATACAGAGAATGTAAGATTTAAAGCTAACTTTGAGTTATTAAATAGGAACTTAGTTTGAGATACACATTATAACCTTGCTCTTTCATACAGCAAGTTTTCAGTCCCACAAATGTGTATAGTTTTTGTACATTTTTCATTGCATACAGTTGCATTGATAACTGATGCTATTTTTTTTTTTTTACAAATGTTTATCTTTTAATGGTTACAAAAATACATGTTGGTAAAATTTTCCTTTAAATTCTGTCAGGATGGTATCAAGAAGGACTTTGAAATTAAACCACGTATAAGACTAAATGGGGGCCGGGGATGTAGCTCAGTAGTTTCTCAGCCTGCTGTGCAAGCGCAAGGACCTGAGTTCGATCCCCGGTACCAAAAAAAAAAAAAAAAGACTAAATGCTACCAGCTTGCCTGTCAGATATTCACCAGAAAAAGGTTGTGTGTATTGTGTGTGTGTGTTCATAAGATCAAGTTGCAGTTTTAAATGTTTACATGTCATGAAAGTTAAGAAAGCAACCGGTTAAAAATCACAGGCTATAGGACACAAAATCAACATTAAAAAATCAATTTCTTGTCTATACACTAATAATGAACTAGCTGAAAAAGAAATCAGGAAAATAATGCCATTCACAGTAGTTAAACAAAACCAAACAAAACAAAACAAACCTGTGGCTCAACCTGACCAAGGAAATGAAAGACCTCTACACTGGAAATTTCAGAACACTGAAGAAAGAAATTCAGGACAACAGTAGAAGATAGAAAGACCTCCCATGTTCATGGATCAGCAGAATTCAATATTGTGAAAGTGGCCATATTACCAAAAGAAATCTGCAGATTCAGTGCAATCCTTATCGAAATTTCAGTGCCATCCTTCATAGAACTAAAAAAATCCTAAAACTCATTTAGAAACACAAAAGACTTAGAATAGCCAAAACAATCCTAAGCAAAAAGAACAAGGCTGGAGGTATCACAATATCCAATTTCAAATATACTACAAAACTATAGCAACAAAAATAGCATGACATTGGCCCAAAATTAGACACATAGACCAGTGGAGTAGAATAGAGGACACAGAAACAATCCTACACAACTACAGCCATCTGGTTCTTGATAAAGGAGCCAAAAATTATGTTGGAGAAAAGGCAGCCTCTTTAACAAATGGTGCTAGGGAAACTATCCATTTGTAGAAAACTGAAACTAGATCCCTACCTTCTATCCTGTACAAAAACCAATTCAAAATGGATCAAAGACCTAGGTGTGTAACACTGGAAAATTTGAAACTGCTGGAAGAATACATATAATACATAAGCCCAGGCAAAGACTTCCTGAATAGGTCTTCAGTAGCACAGAAAACAATAAAAAGAATCAATCAGGTCTGCATCAAATTAAAAAGTTTCTGCACAGCAAAGGAAACCACTAACTGTGTGAACAGCCAACAGAGTTGGAGAAAAATCTTTGCCAGCCACTCTTCCGACAGAGGATTAGTAGAGCTCAACACCAAAAGATCAAATAGCTCAATCAATAAATAGGCAAAAATTGAACAAACACCTCTCAAAATAAATACAAAAGAAGTACAAATGATCAATAAGTGTATGAAAAATGTTCAGTGTCTTTACCCATTAAAAAATACAAATCAAAATTAGTGGAGATTCCATCTTAGCCCAGTTAGAATGGCTGTCATCAAGAACAGAAAGCACAGTGAATGCTGGGAAGTGTGCAGGGAGTGAGGAGGGAGGGAGCCTTCTACACTGCTGGTGGAAATGTAAATTAGGACAGCCCAGCATGGAAATCAGCATGGAGGTTCTACAAACAATTAAAAACAGAACTACCATCTAACCCAGCTACACCCCGCCCTGGTGTATACCTGAAGGAATTAAAGTTAGCATTCTATAAGGAGACCTGCACACCCACATTTATTATGGAACAGTTCACAGTGGCCAAGATATGGAACTAGCCCAGGTGCTCATCAACAGATGAATGAATGAAGAAAATGTGGTAAATATATGTTTATAAACAGTGGAGTATTTTCAGCCATAAAGAGGAATAAACATGTCACTTTCAGGCAAATGAGTGGAACTAGAGATCATTGTGTTAAGTGAAACAAACTAGACTCAGAAAGAGGACTATCCCATGTTGTCTTTAATATGTGGAATCTAAAACAATGACATGAAAGTAGAAGGGAGACTCTTAAAGAAGAGGAAGGGAATAAAGGGGAGAGGGAGGGAGTGTCGGGAAACTTTACAGGGGAATCGTTATGATTAAAATATATGCATTGAGACCTAATATTTTGTAAAATTAATAGGCACTAATAAAAAAACATAGGCTGTTAATAAAAAATATGATAGATATAAAATTAATACTTGTATACTGCTAGCTCTGAATCAGTACCTAATTGGTTGTCTCTAAGTTACATCATACAAATCTGATGAATGCCTAAGTATGTCCAATGTGGTGAGAATCAAGCTGTAGTCATCTACTTGAGTTTGATAAAAAGCCAATACAGTTAACTATCTTTAGTTCCAGTGATCTAAAACAGTAATACAAACTTGGGTAACACTGCCCTGAATGAAAACATAATCAAATGATTTACATGTATAGGCACCTGAATTATAAAGCTATTTTGTCATATTTTCATTGAATTTAATTTTAAACCCCTATTCTCATGACTCCAGCCATCATTTCTATGCATATACTTCCAAATCTATAGTGTAGAACTGATCTCTGTATTATTCTTGCCCGTTTCTATTGCAACAAACCTGTACCACCTCAAACTTAATACATATATTTAAAAACAAAAATCTTTCCCTAGCCTACTTCCTTCTTCTCCCATCTTCCCTATTTTTCTTAGTCACTTAACAAACATTTATGGAGTCAGGCACTACTAGGAGTTGGAAGTGCAAAGGTAATACAAAGCATGGTCTCTCTACTGTCTGAGGAGCTTAGTTCTACTAAGGAAAGACAAACCAGTGCAGTACAGTACTGTGGGACAAATGTCATAATAAAGGTATCTGCATGGTAATGTGAGAGTGTAGAGATAGCACATCCAAATCAGGCTAGCAGGCAAGTTTAAGGAAGTGAGAGGTCAAGTATGGCCAACCTACAGTGAGCAAAAGGAAAAGTGGCACAGATGGAGACTGGAGAATTTGGGAGAGGTCGCCGTCTTTAGCACTGATGTGAATAAGAGTATTGGAAACCCACTGAAAGGTTTTAACCTGGGTTCACATGATCAGATTTGTGCAGTAGAAAGATCACTCTGAATCTCAAGTGGAGAAAGACAGGAAAGAAAGATGGTGAATGAAGGCAAAGCTCTGTCACTGCAGTAATTCAGGAGGAAGAGTATGCTGGCCTGGACCCTCTAGTGAGCTATCAGAGAACAATAAGCCTTCAGCAGTGGTGGTTCATGGGAAAGATGAATGAACCCGTGAGGGCGATGCATACTTCACTGGTTACTCTCAAGCTGCTCAGCCTATTTTGGCTTTTTGCATGTGGGATTTATTATTGTGTCTTATACTGTGACCCCTACTTCCTGAGCCAGGAAGGGACGAATTACAGAAGAGTTTATTTCTTGTTCATGGTGCAAGAATCTAGGGACTCACAGGAGTGACTTCTGTAGAGCAGCAGAGGATACCCTCTAAGTGTGGGCTGCAGTTGGATCTGTGTGTTGTCTCTGATGTAGAAATCCACTGAATGGTAATGTGGAGGGACCTCGGGGGAAGACGGCACCATTCTTTTTTGGAGATAGCTTCATGAACATGTGATTGGGTTTAAGAGAAACTCACTGTGTTTTGATTCTTAAACTGTTTGGTTCCCAAAAGGCCATAGGCCTTATTTATCAAGTGGATGAAATAACATAAGAGACTTAGAAAATACGTGCAGATTGCTTTTTTTCCTGTGGAAATTTCCAATCTGAAACCTAATTTTGGAAAGAATGAGCAGCTTTAGAAATGAGTTGTTACTATAAGCAGCTGAGCTCAGTTCAAAGAGGGCCTCCCTCACATAGCCTGTGAGGCAGAGGAACAGAAATACTGCCCTCCTTGCTCAGGGCTCTGGATTTTGTCTGTAGCAGGACTTATTCTGGGTGCTTCTGCAGAGGCCGTGCCAGCAAGATTTAGTCTCTCAGGCTCAGGCTCCCCACACGTCGGTGTGTCACCCCTGTAATTTTAGTTGGTTCCTGCTACGTGGCTTGCCTTGCCCTTGCTGTCACTAATGACTCTGCTGTGTCATCTTAGTGATTTGCAGGCATTATGCAGTGTCTGCGGTCAAAAGAAGGCCAGGGACCTTCTTGGGCTGAACTTCCACCTACAGAAAGCTGTGCACAGTGTGTATTCCTGGGGTGCGTTCTCTAGGTGTTCTGAGTGTCTGGATGCTTGGTTTCGTGTTCTATCCATGTACAAGTTCAATGGGATGTGAATGGCCTAGGTAACTTATTTCTAATAATGTGACGTCTCTCTATTGGGTTTTAGACTTGGCTCATCACTTAGTTATGAAATACATGTGGTACAAGGTCCTTTTGTCTTAAGGTGTCTCCATGAGATGTTTGAAGAGATTCAGAGGTAAAGTTTGTCTACTCAAAGAATTGGTGTTTGTCAGTGTGTAGTAGGGAAGTTGGCACTATTGGGTGCACTTCATTTTCGTCAAACTGGAAATATAAAATGTATAGAACAGTGGCCCCCAATCTTTTTGGCACCAGGGATAGGTTTCAAGGAAGACAG